CCTCCGCTGCCCAGCACCTGTGCTTTCAGAGGGTGGCCCAGCCGAGGGCTGCGCCGCGCGGGCCCGTCTGGTTGGGGTCGCAGTCCACCTCCTGCAGAGAACGCTCGGGCTGTTTGCTAAATGTCCTGCCTGAGCTTGGGAAGACAGCAAAGCTGCAGATGCACATCCTCTGAAACACTCACGCGCCTGACTCCCACACAGGCTAGGAGCAGATGACAGAGCCCCCGCTGACCAGGCGCACTGTTACAAGCTCCTGGGTTCTGGTTCTCACGACCACCGGTGTTTTCCTAACTTGAAAAAACACTAGCTGGCCAGGGTCGTGGCACAGTGGGTTAAGCCGCTGCTCGCAATGCGGCCATCCCACGGTTCGAGCCCTGGCCCCTATGCTTAGCTCCCGCCTGGGAGGCAGCAGAGGGCCCCACCTCCCTTGTGGGGACCCTGACAGAGCTCCTGACTCCTGGCTGCAGCCTGGCCCAGGCCCAGCTCTTGCAGCGTCTGGGGCGTGACCCAGGGGTGGAAGATCTCCCCCTGCCCCTCCCTTCTCTGTTGCTCTCTGCCTTCAGAGAATGTGGTCCAAATGAACCAGAAAGAAACCAGCTGAGCGCCCAGACCTAACTGGGCCCGCAGTGCCTCTGCTGGAACAGGGCTCCGGGGCTCCGAGCAGAACCCGCCCCGCGGCACAGGGAGGCGCTAGGGGCCCGTGGGAGCCGCGACCCGGGCGGGGCTGCGCCTGCCTGGCTGCAAAGGGGCTGCTTCTGAGGGGTTAGGGTCCTGGTGAGAGGAAGGTGTGTGTCCCATCCTGAAGGAGAATTAGCAAGCGCCCTGAGCAGGGAGATTCCTGCAGCGGGGAGGCCATTCGGAAAGCAACGCCCGGCAACCCCGCCGGCAGCGCCGCGCGAGCTCCCGGCTCCCCCTCCCGCCGGTGTTGGCGCCTCCACAGCCGAGCCCCATCGTGAGATACTGAACGCTTTCACGGGACGCCGGCACGCTGCAGGCCACACAGGAGGGTCTGAGGAGCCTGACCGCCCCGGCGCATCCTGAGAACAGCGCCCGTACTCCCCCACGGGACAGGCAACGGGGACACTCGCCCGCCGCCCGCCAGGCGCTTCTGCTTCCAGAAAACCCCCGCCTCCTTTCCTCTGTGGCAGCTCCCCTGGAATCTCGCTTCCCCCCCCCCCAGTCCCCGGGAGCCCCGCGCACACAGCAGAGCCCTGCCTCGCTCCACTCCCGCCGGTCTCCTGCGCTCTGCGGCCGGCTCCCCGCCCCGCCGGGGGCTGGAAGGAGCCTCGGGGGCCGCCGGCTCTCTCCGAGCCCGCCACCCTCCTTCAGCGGGGCCACAGGCGATGCGGCGCAGACCCCGCCCCCTCGGGGCTCCGCTCCGACTCCGGGCTCCAGCCTCCCTCTGGTCCTGTGCTTCCAGACCTCCTGCTCGCGTTTTCTGCTCAATTCCTCTCCAGGGGAGCCCAAAATGGCAGGCAGGGACAGGAACGGCACCGACGCCCCCGTTCTGACAGGCAGGTGACTCAGAAAGCGAGCAGACCCGAGGACGGGCTGCAAAGGGAGCCGAGGGCCCCCGCCCGTCTCTGCGCACACGCAGGCCAGACCCCGCAGGGGCCGCGGCAAAGCACAAGCAGAGAGACCGTGCGGGAGGCTGACAGTGAGGAAGCGTGACGTGGCGCAGAAGTGAGTCAAAGAGCGAGCTCCACTCCTTCCCGACTTCCCGCTCTAGCAGGAGCCGCTCCAAGAGCAGGCGTCGGGCCTAGTGGTTCGTCTTGACGTAGCAGGGGAAGCCGCCACCTGCCACACCAGCATCCCTGTGGGCGCTGGTTCTTGTCCCGGCTGCTCCACTTCCCATGCAGCGCTATGCTAACGGCCTGGGAAAAGCAGAAGATGGCACCCACGTGGGACACCTGGAGGAAGCTCCTGGCTTGTCTGACCCAGCCCGGGCCATTACAGTCGCCTGCGGAGTGAACCAGCGGATGGGAGACCCATCTCTTCAATGATTAAAAAAAAAAAAGACGTCCGAGTCCCACACTGGACTGCCCGAGTCTGACACTGACTCTGGTCCCAGCTGCCCGCTAGCACACACCCGGTGAACCTGCTTCCTCACCACCACTGTGGGAGGCTGGACTGAGCTCCTGACCCTGGCTGCAGCGGAGGGAGAGCCAGAGAGACCTTCATCTACCGGTTGACTCCCCAAACGGCCACGACAGGCAGGCTGAAGCAGGAGGGGCACAGGGTCTCCCACGTGGGTGGCGGGGCCCAAGCAGCTGGGCCATCACCTGTGGCTTTCCCAGGCGCGGCAGCAAGGCCTCAAAGGCACCCAGCGACAGAGGCGGCCCGAGCACCGGCCCCACCTGACTTCTGAGCGCTCCCGCACCCCAGCCCCAGCCCCAGGCTGTAAAGGACCCCTTTTCTCCTGACCCACCCCCACCAGTCCTGAAGCCCTCGCCGTGCGCCCACTTGCGTCCCGAGCTCTACTCTAAGCCGCCCCCCTAAAACACGCGCCCTCCTGATGGGAGGGAGGGCCACCGTCCTGCAGCCGCGATCCCAGCTTGGCCGGCCGCCGCCTCTGCTGCTGTCTGGTCCCCGCCGCAGCGCCAACCAGGCTTCCTTGGGCAGCTTCCCCAGCCTCTGAGGCCGCTTCCTCCAGAGCCCTCTCCCGCCCCTGGTCTCCCTCCCTGAGGAAAGGATCCGCCATCTCCGCACTTCCCCTGCCTGCACCCGAGGGAAGGCAGCCGACCCCTCCCGGAGCAGGTGCTTGTCACACTGACGGACAGACGGAGGGCGGGCTTAGAGGGCTGAGGTCATCAGGAGGCGCCGCAGGGAGAGGCATCTGAGGCATTTAGCTCAGCAAGGGGAGAAGGGCTCCTGGGAAGGGGCGGGGCGTGGGGGCGTGCGTGGGGGCCAGCACTGGGCCTGAGGAGCAAGTGCCCAAGTGCCCGGCTAGGAGCAGAATGCAGAACTGATCGCGCTGGCCCTGGGCCAAGGGGAAGCTGCTGCAATAACCCGGGCGAGCAGGGGAAGCGAGGCCCCAGGCAGCGGTACACTGTTACCACGGTTCCCGGTTCCCGGGAGCGCCGAGGGCGGGGCTGGAAGCAACCCCAACACAGAACCCCAACACAGCTGGGGACAACACTCCGCAGGCCGGTCTCACCTGTAGCCCCTACAGCTACCATGGACACTGCCTCACACTGAGCTGAGGGCTCCTGCCTCAGAACAAGACCCCACCTACCCACTACACCCTGCATGTAACCCATCTACACCCTGCATGTAACTCAACTACCCCCCACCCTGCATGTAACCCATCTACCCCCACCCTGCATGTAACTCATCTACCCCCCACCCTGCATGTAACTCATCTACCCCCCACCCTGCATGTAACTCATCTACCCCCACCCTGCATGTAACTCATCTACCCCCCACCCTGCATGTAACTCATCTACCCACTACACCCTGCATGTAACCCATCTACCCCCACCCTGCATGTAACCCATCTACCCCGACCCTGCATGTAACTCCACCCACCGGCTACACTCCGCCCATCAGCACCTGCGAACTCAGCTAACCCCACCGTGGTTACATCCAGGTGGGTGGGTTCCCCGCAACGGCTGAGGCTGTGCCAGGCTGAAGCCAGGAGGGGAACTCACTCTGGGTCTTCCACCCCGCAGGGACCCCCACCCCCGAAAACCATCACCTGCTGCCTCCCGGGGCGCGCACCGGCACGAAGCAGCAATCCGGGGCCGAGCCAACACAAACCCACGCGCCTCAGGACAGACGGGGCCAAGAGGCACCTTTCCCAGGGCACCAAAGGCGCCCTCGCAAACGAACCTAAAGAAGCGAGCCGCGCGAGCAGCTCCGGGCCTCGGCGGCCGCGCGCACCTGCGGGTTTCGCGTGTCTTCCGACCGGTCTCTCCCTTTCTGCTGCTGCAAGCCTGGGTCAACCTCCCGAGGAGGGAGGGCTTCCGTTACGGAAGATCGGGCCATCGGAGAAAGCGGCGTGGGCTCCAAGGACCCAGACGACCCCACACACGGCAGCACTCAGCCCACCTCCCGTCTGCTGCTGCCCCAGAGGCCGCCACGGGCTCCAGCCCACCGCCCCAGCTCCCTCCTGGCGGTTCCTGCAGCGCCGCGGGGCCCACGGCTCCAGGCCGCCTCAGCCGCACCCATCTCCTTGCAGCGTCGGTGCGGGGGCGGCCAGGGGTCCCCAACACCAATTCGGCCGTGCTGCAGCCACTCTGGGAGAAAGGCCTCTGGCAGCGCTCTCTCTGCAAAAAGCAAAACTCTCGTCCCTTCAAGCACTCGGCCCGGGCGAAGGGGTCACCTCCGAGGAGCACACGGTCACAGCCCGGAGGCTGCAGCACTCGCCACTCCGCGAAGCTTCAGGCCCAAGCCGGAGGGGGACCCGGGGGACCCGGAGCCCAGGCCCGGCGCGGCCCCACCGCCCGCTCCCAAAGCGCCATGCACGGAGGACCCGGCTGTCGCTCTGCTCGAAGCCGCGGCCCGGCAGCCGCGCGCGGGAGCGGGAGGACTCGCCGCAGCCCAGGCAGTGCGGGGCGGCCGGGCGGGGAGGGGCGTGATCGCGGGATGCTCGCGGCGGGATGGCGGCCAGGCGCGAGCTGCCAGGCGGCGCCGCCGCGGGGCCAGGGGAGGGGTCGCGGGATGAGGACAGGGGCGGCTCGGCGGCTCGAGGACAGGGCCCAGGCGGCCGCGGGTACTCACTCAGCCAAGACTCCAAGCTCTCTCCTTCCGCCTCCGCCATATTGCAGGCGCCCGGGGCGGCCCCGCCGCCCTAAGTCTCGCGAGAGGCCGCGCGAGCCGCGCGGGGCGGGGCCTGCATGGGGGCCTGAGAGGCGCGAGCGGCGACCCCGGCGGCAGTGCCGGGCCGCCGCTGATTTCGAGAGGACGAGTTTCCTGGTGGCCCCTCTCTTTGGACGCCGCAGTGAGAGACTAGCGTGTGACAGGGAGATGTAGAGCCCTGCGGGGTGCGCAGCTCGTCTCCCGTCGCTCGCTCAGGCGCGCCGAGGGCAGGCCCCGCGGGGTCCTCGTGGCCAGCCAAGATGGCCGCCCGCGCCGCGAAGGTTGCGCGTGGGTGGTCGGCCTCGGTGCTGGGCGTGCGGCCGGCCGCCTGCTGGCTTCCAGGGTGAGAGGCTGGCGAGCGCCGCCGGGGTCTTCCCAGTGGGACCTGCGGGGAAGGAAGGGGCCCGGGGAGCGCGCTGCTGTGGCGTCCGCGCCCCCTGCCTGGCTGCGTGGCCTGGAGACTTGGGGACTTGGGGTCGTGCCAGGGGGCCCACCTGCAGATCCGGTCTCCCGGGCTGGAGCTGAGCCCGGGCGGCCTGTGTGCCGGGCGATGGGAGGGGCCGCGGCCTTACCTCGAGCACAGGACGGGGAGGCGACTTCCCCGGGCTGCGTGAGAGAACGCCCCCTACCCCTCGGGGAACAGGCCCAGAGGTGGCGGCGGTGCAGGTGCAGCCAGCGGCGGGGTGGCGGCCATCCTATTGTTAAGTCAGGCTGGGCCGTTTGTGGGGTCAGCTTTGGTCGGCCCTGCCCTCTTGTGCCCCTCCCAGGCTCACGCAGGTGAGGTGGAGCCGCTATGGCCCGGAGTACAGGGACCCCCGGGTCGAGAAGGAGCATTACCGCAAGCCGGCGGCCGAGCTCACGGAGGAGGAGAGATACGACCGGGAGCTCAGGAAAACGCAGCTCATCAAAGCCGCGCCGGCCACGACCACCGGCTCCGTGTTTGAGGACCCGGTGATCAGGTGGGGGGACCCCGTGGGGTGGGGCCGCCTGGGCAGGGGGCGCGGCGCGGCCTCGGGCGCTAAACTCGCTGTTTCCCCTCGAAGCAAATTCACCAACATGATGATGAAAGGCGGCAACAAGGTGCTGGCCAGGTCCCTCATGACGCAGGTGAGCCGCGTGTGCAGGGACCCCAGGGTGTGCCCCAGGCGGCGCGGCTGCCAGCCAGCGCTCCCCCCGCACGTCTTGGCCCTCTGTGTCCACCCTGCGCTCTCAGGGCGGGGAGGCCCTGACCAACTCTGGGCTTGGAAGCGTGCGGTGGGACCACTGGACGACAGGAGAGGCCAGGGCGCGAGCTGAGCAGGCTGCACCCGGGGTAGGGGCTGCCTGGGCAGAGGTTTCTGTTTTGTTTTTAAAGATGTATTTATTTGAAGGAGAAAGAGAGACGGAAATCACCCACTGGTTCACACCCCAAATGGTCGGAATGACTGGGGCTGGGCCAGGCAGGAGCCAGGAGCTTCTTCCGGGTCTCCCACGTGGGTGCAGGGGCCCAAGGACTTGGACCATCTTCCACTGCTTTCCCAGGCCATTAGCAGAGAGCTGGACAGGAGGTGGGGCGGCCGGGACTCGAACCTGTGCCCGTATGGGATGCCAGCAGACCTTGGCCTCTCCCTTCGCAGACCCTGGAAGCCGTGAAGAGGAAGCAGTTCGAGAAGTACCAGGCCGCCTCCGCAGAGGAGCAGGCCACCATCGAGCGCAACCCCTACGTCATCTTCCACCAGGCTCTCAAGAACTGCGAGCCCGTCATCGGGCTGGTGCCCATCCTCAGAGGCGGCCACTTCTACCAGGTGCGTGGTCAGGACAGGGGGCAGGGCCCGGCGTGCAGAACTCGGGGAGCAGAGCGGGCATAGCCCGTGCGGTTCCCTCTCCTGGCCACGTCCTGCACGTCCTGGGCTAGAGCAGGGGGCGGCACTGTACGCTGTGGGAGCGGGGACACGCTCCTCAGGGTCTGCGTGGCCCTCGGCACGAGCGAGGACGTCCCAGGTGACTCTGGACAGCAGGTCTTGTTTTCAGGACCTGCGGCCCGCGCTGGCTGAGTTGCCACAGCAGACACGTCCTGGCCGGTGATGGTGTCTGCCTGGCGAGAGGCCAGCGCTTGGCGTTGGCTGAAGCCTCGCAGCGCCCAGTGCACCGAGGTCACTCGCGGAGGGGCCTCTCGCACGGGAGACTCCGCCCAGCCGCCCCACGTCCCGCCTCACGCAGGTCCCCGTGCCGCTGGCTGAGCGCCGCCGCCGCTTCCTGGCCATGAAGTGGATGATCACCGAGTGCCGCGAGAAGAAGCAGCGGCGGACGCTGATGCCGGAGAAGCTGTCGCACGAGCTGCTGGAGGCCTTCCGCAACCAGGGCCCCGTCATCAGGCGCAAGCAGGAGATGCACAAGATGGCCGAGGCCAACCGCGCCCTGGCGCACTACCGCTGGTGGTAGGGCCCGCCGCCGCCATGGCGGAGGACCCCTGGGCTCAAGGACGCGGTTCCTGAGGGCCAGCCCGGCTCCCGGGCAGGACGCCGCTGCCCGCCAGGCCCCTCGGAGGGCACAACCTGCTCTCCCTGTCCCATCTGGCTCAACCCGGGAAACTCGGGGCCTGGTCCTCTGCACCCCCGGCTCGGAGTGGACTTGGGATGGCACAGAGGCGGCCGCTTTAATATCTGAAAAGGTTTATTAGAAAATTCCCTCCTGAACTGTTGTGGCGTGAGATCCACTACCACCATTCATTAAAACAGATGGAGGAGCTACGCTGTGTGCAAAGTGGTCTGTGTGCAACATGGCGCCTCGTGCTCTGCCTCTGCCCCCGACACCCAAAGCATCATCCCGATGGCTGTGGTTACCCATTTTACAGATGGGGAAACTGAGGCACCGGGGTGGCTGCGGAGCTGTGTTACACAGTGCAGTGCCGGTCAGTATTGCTCGTCTCTGCACGGCGGGGTCAGAGAAGGCGTCTGTGTGGTGGGGGAGGCCTCCTCAGGGCGGGCCACACACAGGTGCAGACGGAAGCGTCTAGAAGCCTGAGCCAGTCCACGGTCCGTGGTGCGGAGCCTACTTGGGCAGCTCTCTATGGTAGTATGTGTGCGGGCGGGGTCAGAGAAGGTGTCCGTGTGGTGGGGGAGGCCTCCTCAGGGCGGGCCACACACAGGTGCAGACGGAAGCGTCTGGAAGCCTGAGCCCAGGCCAGTCGGTGGCAGGCAGCCTAGTCGGGCAGCTCGCTGTAGTAGTACTTGTGCGCGGCGGGGGTCGTCGTCCAGCCGGCCGCCCGGAACTCGATGACCTCCAGCAGCAGCAGCTGGGCCAGCGAGCTGAGGCCGCGGGGCAGCAGGAAGCCGTCCCGGATCAGCACGAAGAGCTCGTCCATGCGCTGCCCGTTCATCTTCTCCAGCTGCTCCCCGACGCGGTGCAGCTGCAGCACCAGGCAGTCCACCTGCAGGGCACGGGCAGCGCTCACCGGGGGCCAGGCCACGCTGTGCCCGAGAGCGCCTTCAAGCTCACACCACCCCACGGGTGCTGGCCACGCCAAAGCCAAGGCCCCGGGCCTCCAGTCCGCAGGCCCGGCTGGGCAAGGGCGAGGTCCAGGCCGCTGCCTCGCCCCTTTCGACCACCCCCGCCCGCAGGGCCTCGGGTTGCTTTCTGAGCCACCTGTGTCCACAGCTGGCCGTGGGGGTCACCGTTCTTTCCTACCGGGGAGGAAGCCACCCAGCCAGTAGCTCTTGGTCCTGGGTAAATTCCAGACTTGGCAGCTTGCCCGTAACTGACAGCCCTTGGGTCCTCCCACCAGGCTCCTGCCCCAGCGGCCTCTGTGGGCAGTGCTCAGGCCCTCAGCCAGACCGCCCACCTCCACACCTTCCGCGCCAGGGCCACCCACCTCCTCCTCCGTGCTCAGACTGTCGGGCTGGGCCAGCCGGAAGAGGCAGTCATAGACGGGGTTCACCAGGGCCATCATGGGCATGTTGTTCACCTGTGGGAGGAGAGGGGGGGCGGAGCAGCGGCTTCAGTGGCCGCGGTGGGGCCTGAGCCTCGGGACGCGGGGTGGCTGCCAGGGCCTCACCCTCAGGTAGTCAAAGATGTTGCAGATGAAGGTGACGTAGCAGACCCAGGCCTGCAGTGAGCGCGCGCGCAGCTGCTCCCGGGCCTGGTACTCCTGCTGCAGCCGGTTGAGCAGTCCCCGTCGGAAGACACTCTGGCCTGCTTGTGTACTCTCAGCCTGAGATGGGGGGAGGAGCGTGAGGGAGGGGCGGTGTCGGGGCAACCACCCCTCTGCCCCTCTGTGCTGCTGGCCAGGCCTCCTGCCCCTCCGGGAGCACCTGCCTCGGGGCAGCTCCGTGCCCCCCCGCCCCCACCTGAATGATGGCGTAGCACATGCGTCCTGCTTCCTTGCTGAACACACAGTCCTGCAGAGAGTGGTCCACAATCACGTTGGCCACTCTGTCCAAGTCCACAGCTCCTGGATCTGGGGGTGGAGACAGGAGGGAGTTCGGCACCGCCTCTAAGGACCTGAGCCCCCCACGTGTGCTGGGCAGCTCCAGCCGCGAGTCCTGGTTGCCCAGGAGAGGAAGGACGGTGTGACGGTGTCGTCAGCTGGGACACGCTTTTGCCAGCAGCAGGCTGAGGACGGACACCAGGCAGCGAGTCTCCCACGGCAGCTTCTGGGAAAAGCTCGTGCACACTAACCTGGCGAGAGCAGGCCACGCGGGGCCTCACCGTGGGCTCAGCCGGGCACGTGATGGGCACGCTAACGGCGGGCTGAGTCAAGCTCACGTCCTAGTGTTGGGCAGGAAGGCACGGGGCCAGGCAGGACGCAACCTCTGCCAAGCTGACTGCGCCATCCTCCTGCCCGTCAGGGCGGCAACCGGCCCCTGCTTTCATGGGGACTTAAGTGTAGAGAAAGACTGCCGGGCCGCCTGCAGTGCCCGCATCCTACATGCGCGCCGGCTTCATGAGTCCCGGCGGCTCCACTTCCCACCCAGCTCTCTGCTGCGGCCTGGGAGAGCAGGAAAGACGGGCCAAGCGCTTGGGCCCCTGCACCCGCGTGGGAGACCTGGGGGAAGCTCCTGGCTCCTGGCTTCAGATCGGCGCAGCTCCAGCCACTGTGGCCATCTAGGGTGTGAACCAGCGGATGGGAGGCCTCTCTCTGCCTCTGTCTCTCTGTAACTCTTTCAAATAAATAATTAAAATTTTTTAAATAAAGGAAGAAAGACTTTGCAGGCTGAGGGGTGACTCCACGACTCCTCCTTCGAAACGCCGGCCTCCATGTGGTTTGTCCAGCACAAAGAGCTGCACCGCCGATTCTAGAAAGCAAAGGACCAGGGCTGGCCGCTCCCTGACCCCCAGGCTCAGCCTGCTCCGTGCTGCCACATGTGCCCTCCTTTTTTAAATTAATTTATTTACTGGAAAGAGTTACAAAGAGAGAGAGAGGTCTTCCATTTGCCGGTCCACTCCCCAGATGGCCACAACGGCCAGAGCTGTGCTGTTTGGAAGCCAGGAGCCAGGAGCTTCTTCCAGGTCTCCCACGCAGGTGCAGGGGCCCAAGCACTTGGGCCATCTTTCCTGCTTTCCCAAGCCACAGCAGAGGGCTGGATCGGAAGTGGAACAGCTGGGACTTGAACCGGCGCCCACATGGGATGCTGGCACTGCAGGCGCTGGCCCCACGGGGCCCCTCCTCTGCAGCGCCTGACCTCAGCTCACCTTTGAGCGCTGTCTTCAGCAGCTGCTGGGTGTCTGCGTCAAAAGACTGGATTTTATACTCCTCTCTCCCCGACTCGCCCATGACCATCCGGGCTGGGAATACTGACAGCACCTGGGAAGAAGGAACAGCGAGGCCTCAGGTGTGCAGGCGGAGCCCTTTGGGGCAGGTGCTCGGGGCAGCCCGAGGCCGAGAGCCCATCGAGCTTGGCTTCGGGGCTCCCGCCAGGCACCTGCTGCTCGGCCCAGGGCACCCCAGGTGTCTGGGATTGGCGAAGTGAAAAGCGAACGCGCCTGCCCTGGGGTCCCAGCAGGAGGCAGGGCTGTTCGCTCCCTTCCCGAGGGAGAGCCGGGTGCGCGCGCGCGCCGAGCCGGGATGCGCGCTGGCGGATCAGATCAGATTTGCTCAAGTGCCCCGCGCGGAAGCTGCCGGCCCAGCTCGGAGCTGGACGACGGACGAGGCTGGGGGCCCCAGGCTGCGGTCCAAGTCCGTCTCCCTCCCCCAGCCCCCGCCTCGGGGTCCTTCTCAGGGCGCAAACCCACCCCTCCAGCTCTCGGGTTGGAGCGGCCTGCGCTCGTAGGCGCCCAGGGCCCGGTGGCGTCTCCCCAGGACGGGCTGGCTACAGCGGCCCCCCGAGAGGCAGCAACCCGGCCCTACCCACTCAGGACTCCCAACTCCCGGGGTCCATCCTGGATGCGTCCCCCTAAAGTGGGAGCGGGACGGCGTGTCCCCGAGAGGTGGCTGCCGCCGGACTGCCTTCTCTCTGGTCCCACGAGGCGACCTTAGGGGCTTCCAGACCTCAGCAGCTTGCCAGGTCCGGGATCCGCTGCCCGGCGGCCGAGCCCGCGGGCGGGAAAGGCTGCGGGGTCGCCGGGACCCACCTGCCGGGCCGGCACCGCGCCCGCGCGCCCGAGGGCCGCCCGGCGGGCATGGTGCGCGCGCCCGGCGTCCCGCGCGCCGCTGAGCTCACTTCCTAGCGCGGCGCGGGGCGGCGCCCGCTCGCCAGCGCCACCTGCCGGCCCCCGGGCCCTGCCCTGCCCTGCCCTCGCCGCCGGCCTGTCCGAGCGAGGGCCGCGCTGGACGCCCGCGACGCTGCCGCCGCCGCCGCCGCCGCCCCCGCCTCACCAGGTGGGCCCCGGCCCCGTCGGCGGCCACAGGGGCTCGCGGGCTCTGGGGCCCGCCCGCTCCTCGATCCGCATGCAGCCCCCTCGCCCTGTCCCGCGTCAGGGCGCAGGTGAAGTGGGGCGGACCGGCCAGGCCGCGCCGCGGGGAGGAGCGCGCGGAGGGCGTGGCCGGCCGGCCGGCGGGAGGGGCGGCGGCCCCGCGGCTCCGCCCGCGTCCCCACGCGGAGGCGGCTGGGAGGCCCGCACCTGCTCCCACGAACCCCTCTCCAAGTGCCCACGAGCGGAGGGCAGTCACGGGAGAGGCCTTCTGGCGCCCGAGGGTGTCGGGGCTGCCCCTGAGGCTCGGGGCCGTAGTGCCCACGGCCTCCGGTGGAGCCGCCCTGACGGTCACTGGGAAAGGGTGCAGCGCAGGAACCGGAGGAGCGGGAGACGTGGGGACAAGAAACTGCCCTGACAAGGCATCGCTTAGACGCCGCCTCTGTAGCCGGGGTCGAATGCGGAGGCCATCCGCCCAGCCTGGACCTGCGGAATCCGCAGCCGAGCGCTGGGGACAGACCACGAAGACCCGGCCCGGGGGAGCGGGGGCCACGGCACCCACGGTCTAGGGCCTCGGTGGTGGGTTTCTGTCCCGGGGCTTTCCTGCCCTATCGCTGGGCTCCTCTGCACCCACACCCGTCCTGGACTCCGGTACCTCCCCGGGAGCCCACGGTGTCCTCCCCAGGCTGTCTGCCCCCCCCCCAGGCCCTTCTGGGGTTGCAGAGCCCACAGCACTGCCATTCTGCCCTGAAGGACAGCCTGAGGGGGGTGTGGCCAGCAGGCCCCTCTGTAAGCCGCCCCCCAGCAGCACCAGGGACAGGGCTCCACCTCGACCCACCCCTGCCTGCCGGCTCAGCCCCTCTAATCCCTGCTGGGGCTGCTGGGAGGGTGGCCCCAGGGTGGCCCCAGGGTGTCGGGTTTGCAAGCAGGAAGGTGAGGGCTGGGCTGGGGCCGGCAGGAAGCAGGGCCCAGCTGGGCCTCCTGGGCTGCAGCAGCCGCAGCAGGGCCTGGGGCTGGAACCCGAGGAAGGCAGGTTCCTTCCCTCTCGCTTGTGGGCAGGGATGTGGTCTGTAAGGGAAGATGGAGGGAGTGAGATAAGGAACAAGTTTTCCGCTTTAATGTCCCTTAAATACGCTGATGGGAGAAACAGCCCAGGCTCTCCTGCCGAGAGCTCGGTCCGGCCCTCACCCTCAGGCCGGCCCTCCACCCTCAGGCCGGCCCTCCACCCTCAGGCCGCGCCTCCTCTCCACGATGGCCTGTGATGGCGCCTGCTCCCCGGGTGCCTTGGGGGACAGGAGAGAAGCAGCGGCGGGAGCTCCTTCTCCCAGCCTGGACCTCCTGCCGGTGTCCGGTCGGGCAGGCTGCAGGCTGCTCCCGGCTCCCCACGGGGGAGGAAGGGCCGGGCGGCCCCTCCATCTGCCTCCCGGGGGCGGCCCAGGCCCCTTCCGTGCGCCGAGCTAGCCGTCTGCCTTCTTCATGCGGTGGAAGAAGCTACAGAAGAGCTCGTACCAGAAGAACACCAAGCCCGTGGAGAGCGCCGCCTTCAGCAGGCTGGGAGCCAGGCCCTTGAAGAAGCCCTGGGCGCCCTCCTCCTGCAGCACCCGCTGGGCGCAGTCCCACAGGCCTCTGTAGCGCCGCACCTGTGGGAGGAAGGCTGAGGTCATGGGGAAGGCGGGCAATGGAGATACAGGTGCGGCTGGCACGTCGTGGCACCGACAGACTCGCTGGGTGCGGAACAAGCTAACCCCCTTCCGTCCCAGGTGGGTCAGACCTCACTCACGCGGGGCCGCTCAGAGCTCCTTCCGGCCACGGCTCGGGCCGCCCCAGGCCCTAAGGGAGCCAGGCACATCTCTGGATCTTCCCAGAGGCGTCTCTGACTCTTCACCCCATCCCACCTGGTCCGCCCTGGGAAGATCTGAAACTGGCCCTTGGTCGCTTTTTCTTTTTCTTTAAAGATTTATTAATTTGAAAGAAAGGAGGAGAGAGATCTCCCATCTACTGGTTCACACCCAGAATGGTCCCAGAGGCCAGGGCTGAGTCACACGGAAGCCAGGAGCCGGCAGCTTCCTCTGGGTCTCCCACGTGGGTGACAGGGGCCCAGGCACTCGGGCCATCTTCTGCTGCTTTTCCCAGGCCACAGCAGGGAGCTGGGTCACACGTGGGACGCCGGCCCCTCAGTCTGACAGGTGCTGCCTCTCCAGCCCAGCCTCCCTGCCTCTGGCCTCGCTCCAGTGTCGTCCCCAGAACTCCGGGAATTCCATCGCCAAGCTCTGAGGCCTGGCGTCCAAGGTGCCCACCTCCCAGGCCCCCCTGGGCGCCCCCCACCGTCTCTCCCTGTCCACAGACTGTTCCTTCTGGACAAGAGAGTAAATGGAAAAAGGAGATTCCAAGACTCTGCCTACAGGGAGCCCAGCCTGGTGAACGTTTATGTGAGGATGGTAACCCACGGCACAGGGTTCCCGGCGATCTCTCTCGCTGGCGGCCGTTACAGGAATTTTGGTATTTCCTTTGTCTATCTGAATTCTCTACAGTTCCCTACAGAAAACAAAACATATGCCAGGCGAAAACCCAATTCCTCCTCAAGTAAAAAGCACCTTCCCTCCCCTGCCCCACACCACACCACCCCTCCCCCCGGAACCTGCCTCACGAGTCCCACGGGCCTGGTGCCCCACGTCCCCCGAAGGAAAAAATCCTGGAATCACCCGCTGTATCCCAAAGCTTTGTGTCAGTGCCCCAAAAGGAGCAGAGGAGACCCCGAATGTGGGGTGAGCGCCCAGCACAGCACTTAGACACCGCCTGGAAGCTGGCACCCACACCAGAGCGGCAGGCCCATCCCAGCTACTCCCACGCCGGAGCGGCAGGCCCATCCCAGATACTCCGCTTTCAATCAGATCCTGGGAGACAGCAGATGACGGCGTAAGTACCTGGGCCCCTGCCGCCCACATGGGAGACCCAGAGGCAGGTTCCGGGCTCCTGGCTCTGGCCTGGCCCAGCCCCGGCTGTTGAGGAACCTGGGGAGTAAACCAGTGGACGGACGCATTCCCTTTCTTTCTCATACATTAAAAACAAATTTTGGCCGGCGCCGCGGCTCACTAGGCTAATCCTCTGCCTAGTGGCGCCGGCACACCGGGTTCTAGTCCCGGTCGGGGCGCCGGATTCTGTCCCGGTTGCCCCTCTTCCAGGCCAGCTCTCTGCTGTGGCCCGGGAGTGCAGTGGAGGATGGCCCAAGTGCTTGGGCCCTGCACCCCATAGGAGACCAGGAGAAGCACCTGGCTCCTGCCATCGGATCAGCACGGTGCGCTGGCTGCAGCGCGGCGGCCACTGGAGGGTGAACCAACGGCAAAGGAAGACCTTTCTCTCTGTCTCTCTCTCTCTCACTGTCCACTCTGCCTGTCAAAAAAAATTTTTTTTTTAAATAAAAATACATGTGCAAATCTAAAGAACTGAGAAGGAGTGGCTACAAACACAGTGACGTTGTCTGCACAGGGCCTCTCCCAGGGGCAACCCTTCTAGGGCACTTAAAGTACAACTCAGGGTCTGAAATTCGTGCACTCCTTTCCAGGAACACCCACAACAAGAAGCCAAGGTGCCTCACGCCCCGGTGCGTCTCCTGCTCCGCGCTTTACCATTCCGGGGCCTTCCGGGCTGCGGGGACCACGTGCCCCACGGGCAGGGGCTGTCCGCACCGTGGCGGGACGAGGGGGCTCACCTGGCCAAAGGTGGCTCGGGCCTGCTCGAAGCCCCCGACCTGCAGCCGTTTCTTGAAGAGGTCCAGGGGGTAGGTCAGGGTCTTGCTGACGACTCCGGCCCCACAGCCACAGAGCAGGTTTCTGAGGTTCTCTGGGGCAGAGAAGCGGAATGGAGGGGACGGAGAGAAACTGGTCTTTGGTGGGCAGCTCAAAAGCCATCCGCTCGATCCTCAGCGGCCCCCAGCAGCCCTTGATTTCAAAGAGGGATCTCGTCGGGGAGTGAGACAGCCGCTCAGGACTGAGAAGGGGCGCAGGCGGGCAGGCGGGGCGGCCGCCCCGACTCCCCACTCCCCTGCCCTGCTGCAGGCCACAGCGTTTCAGGTGCCCATCCTGACTCAGTCCCAGGCCGCGGAAGGGACAGGAAGCCCATCCCTCCCGCTCCCCGAAACAAAAACACAAAACCCACACTGAGGGGGAACAAAGGAGACCTGCAGGTTGGGACTTCTGACAAAAATGAACACCAGGGCTGGCGCTGTGGCGCAGCAGGTAAAGCCCCGGCCTGCAGTGCCTGCATCCCATATGGGCGCCGGTTTGAGTCCCAGCTGCTCCACTTCCCATCCAGCTCTCTGCTATGGCCCAGGAGGGCAGTGGAAGATGGCCCAGGTCCTTGGGCCCCTGCACCCGTGGGAGACCTGGAAGAAGCTCCTGGCTCCTGGCTTTGGATCAGCACAGCGCTGGCCGTTATGGCCATCTGGGGAGTGAACCAGGGGAGGGAAGACTGAGCCCCCGCCGTGCTGAGCTGCTGGGGCTTGCTGTCCCTGGCTGCAGAGACAGGTACCTCGCTTCCAGCAGGAAGGCGCCCCTGCCCGCTATCTCCTTAAGACGCCCTGGGCACGGGTCGGTGGAGGGCAGGGCCCCTCCCGTTCTGAGGCCGTCTCACCGTTCTGCTTCCCGCTGGCTGGCACGACCCAGTCAGAGGCGGACTTCAGGAAGCTGTAGCAGGAGAACTGGAAGCCGGCATAGGGAAAGATGGCGATCAGCGTGGGGGTCAAGCCTTTGTAGAAGACCGAGGGGCCTTCGGTCCTGTGCATGGTCACCACGGCGTCCCGCAGGGTCCTGTAGACCTGGACAGTGGGAAGCTTCAGTGAGCTCGGCGGGGACCTCACCCATCACTCCCACTCCCACTCAGCTAAAAAACCAGCCACAGCCGGCGCTGCGGCTCACTAGGCTAATCCTCCACCTTGCGGCGCCGGCACACCGGGTTCTAGTCCCAGTTGGGGCGCCGGATTCTGTCCCGGTTGCCCCTCTTCCAGGCTAGCTCTCTGCTGTGGCCAGGGAGTGCAGTGGAGGATGGCCCAAGTGCTTGGGCCCTGCACCCCATGGAGACCAGGAGAAGCACCTGGCTCCTGCCTTTGGATCAGCACAGTGCGCCGGCCACAGCGCGCCGGCCGTGGCGGCCATTGGAGGGTGAACCAACGGTAAAAGGAAGACCTTTCTCTCTGTCTCTCTCTCTCACTGTCCACTCTGCCTGTAAAAAAAAAAAAAAAAAAACAAAAAACAAAAAAAAAACCAGCCACCAGGAGCCTAACTTCCTGCCAGGACAGCCGTGGGAAAGGCAGGAAGCCAAGCGCCTCCCCTTCCACACGGCGACGAGCCGGCCACAGCCTCCTGTGGGCACGGAAGCAGCGGCTCCAGGCATCACCGCGGCTTCTGGCAGGAGCAGGTCCCCCGGTGGGCGATGGTTACACACACGAGTGATGACATGCGTGCGAGTGACACGGAATAGTCCTCCAGTCGACAGATGAACACAGCAAGACCCAGAGGCGTGGACCCCGTGTTTGCGGAGGAGGGGCAGTCACCCCGTGGGGGCGGGGGGGCGGAGAGGGGCCGAGGCTGACCAGCGTGCCAGGGCGTGCTGTGTGGTTCTGCCTCCTGGGAGGGGCGGCCCCTAGGCAGGCAGACTTGCTGCCTTTAGCAGCTTCTGCTAAGCCTGTTATTTGAGCTGCCCGAGGGCCCTGACCTGGCCTGGCTGGGGTCCAACAAAGCTCCTCGCAGCAATGGGAGACTGGGGGGCGGGGGGCACCCATCTCGCTGCTCCCAGCTGAGGATCCCTCTGCAGGGACTCCATGACAGGGCCAGGCCCTCTGGGAAGGTAACCAGGCGGCGACCTGCCCAGGGCTGCCACTCAGTTCTCCGTGCCCCTGTTGACGCTGGCCTGGCAGCCGGGGTGGAGCTGTCTGGGGAAGGTCTTCATAGGGATTTGGCCTGGTGAGTGACACGCCTGCCTGTCAGACTGCTTGGTTCTGAGTCTGCTCCCATCCCAGCTTCCTGCCAATATAGACCTGGGAGGGGCCAACGCCGTGGCTCACGTGGTTATCCTCCGCCTGTGGCGCTGGCATCCCATACGGGCACCGGGTTCTAGTCCCGGCTGCTCCTCTTCCAGTCCAGCCCTCTGCTGTAGCCCGGGAAGGCGGTAGAGGATGGCCCAGGTGCTTGGGCCCTGCACCCGTGTGGGAGACCAGGAGGAAGCACCTGGCTCCTGGCTTCGGATCAGCGTAGCTCTGTCCGTGGCGGCCATTTGGGGGGTGAACCAACGGAAGGAAGACCTTTCTCTCTGTCTCTCTCTCTCACTGTCTGACTCTATCTCTCAAATATATATATATAGACCTGGCGTGGCAGCAGGTGATGGCTCAAGTGACTGGGTCCCTGCCACCCACAAGGGGAGCTGGATCTCGCTCCGGCCTCCCAGCTTCTGGAATCAGTGGACCTGTCCATCTCAGTCTCTTTGCCTCTCAAATCAGTTAGTTAATAAGATTAAAAATGCACAAAAAACAGAGACCAAGACACTAAAACAAGAGTTAAGGGCAAAGGAAAGAAGAGTTGGGACGCACAGTAGAGGAAAGCAGAGTAAATCACCCATGAAATTGTGACTGGCGTCCCTGCCACAGAGGTGTCGCCTCCACGATAAAAGAGGAGGATCTGTTTTTCCTTTTTTTTTTTTTTTTTTTTTTTGACAGGCAGAGTGGACAGTGAGAGAGAGAGACAGAGAGAAAGGTCTTCCTTTGCCGTTGGTTCACCCTCCAATGGCCGCTGTGGCCGGGGCGCTGCGGCCGGCGCACCGCACTGATCCGATGGCAGGAGCCAGGAGCCAGGTGCTTTTCCTGGTCTCCCATGGGGTGCAGGGCCCAAGCACCTGGGCCATCCTCCACTGCACTCCCTGGCCACAGCAGAGAGCTGGCCTGGAAGAGGGGCAACCGGGACAGAATCCGGCGCCCCGACCGGGACTAGAACCCGGTGTGCCGGCGCCGCTAGGCGGAGGATTAGCCTAGTGAGCCGCGGCGCCGGCCAGGAGGATCTGTTTTTCAAAAAGGAAGAGAGACGCAGAGAACAAGCGGGAGCACTCGGGAGACCTGTGTGGCTTGTTGTGTAGCAGACATTTCTTTGGTACAAACGCAGAATCCAGAGAACAAACTGACAAACTGGATTGCATCAAAATTAAAATCATCTGCTCTTCAAAGGATGTTGTTAAGAAATTAAAAACACGGGCCGGCGCCGTGGCTCACTAGGTTAATCCTCTGCCTGCGGTGCCGGCATCCCACGTGGGTGCCGGGTTCTAGTCCCAGCTGCTCCTCTTCCAGGCCAGCTCTCTGCTGTGGCCCAGGAGTGCAGTGGAGGATGGCCCAAGTGCTTGGGCCCCTGCACCCGTATGGGAGACCAGGAAGAAGCACCTGGCTCCTGGCTTTGGGTCAGCGTAGCTCCGGCCGTAGCAGCCATTTGTGGGGTGAACCAACGGAAGGAGGACCTTTCTCTCTCTCTCTCTCTCTCACTGTCTAACTCTGTCAAATAAAAAAGAAAGAAACAAAGAATTTGAAAACACTCAGGAAATGTCAAGAAATCCCAAACACAAGTGACTCAGGAAATATCAAGAAATCCCCAGAACAATAACAAAAGCAACCACTTAGTGCAAAAATGGGCAAATGCAATGAACAGGCAAAATGTGTAGATGGCCAAAAAGCACACCCAAAAGCTGCCGGGCATCACGAGCAGGTAAAGAAACATAAATTAAAACCACGTCAGATCCCACCGATCGCAGCTGTCAGAATGGCTACAATTTATGAAAACACGATTAAAATTAAAGACTAGAGGTGGGTGTGGTGGTACAGCCGGTTAATCAGAGCTTGGGATACCCATATCCCATAATGCAGTGACTGAAGCTTCACTTTTCTGTTCTGTTTATGGGACCAGTAGACCATTTGTGTACTGATGCCCCAGGGAAAACAGCAGGAGCTTCCTCCGGGTCTCCCACGTGGGGTCAGGGCCCACGGGCTTGGGCCATCCTCCACTGCCTTCCCAGGCCACAGCAGAGAATGGGATTGGAAGAGGAGCAGCTGGGACTGGAACCGGCGCCCTTACAGGATGCTGGCGCCGCAGGTGGAGGCTTAGCTCACCACACTGCAGGCAGCGGCTTTACCCACTATGCCACAACACTGGCCTCCTGAAATAAACTTGACATTAACCTTTTTACATGTTTATTTCCACCGACAGCAATAACAATATTTACATAATCACTTTGCATTGACTTAGCCAAATTCTACTAGTCAGTTATAGTGGGAAGAATGGGGAAGAGCAAGGAAACACAGGGGGATGGTAAAAGAGCTAAATCCTTGGGCAGATGTGTGGCACAGCAGGTTAAGCTGCTGCCTGCAATGTCTGCATCCCATGGGGGCAATGGTTCGAGTCCCGGCCACTCCACTTCCCATCCAGCTCCCTGCTGATGGCCTGGGAAGAGGAGTAGAAGATGGCCCAAGTGCTTGGGCCCCTGCCACACACAAGGGAGACCCAGATGAAGAGAGAGAGAGAGAGAGAGAGAGAGAGAGAGAGATGGAGGGAAGGAGGGAAGAGCTAAATCCTCATTTTCCATAGTAGCAGTCAGTGGTTAATGTCCATAATTTAAAAATAAGACAGGGGATGAGGACTGTGGTACAGTGGGTTAAGCTTCTACCTGGGATGCCCACATCCTTTATAGGAGTGCCTGGTTTGCGTCCCGGCTCCTCTGCTTCTGATCCAGTTCCCTGCTGATACACCTGGGAGACAGCAGCAGGTGATGGCCCAAGTACTTGGGTTCCTGCCACCTAAGTGGGAGCTTCGGATGGAGTTCTTGGCGCCTGGCTTCGGCCTGGCCCAGCTCTTGGCAGGCATCAGGGGAGTACCCCAGAGATGGGAGATCTCTCTCTCTGTCACTCTGCCTTTCACAATAAATAAATAAAATCTTTTGAAAGAAGAAAGGAAGAATGGGAGAGGAGGAAAAATGGCAGTATGAATACGTGCTAAATAAAAATCCCAGAAGGCCACTGCTTTGCACTGCACTCCAACCCACCAGGTTACGGAATAAACACGGGGGCCTGAGCCTCAGGGTGCCGCGCCCCACGTCGGAGTGCCTGAGCTGGGCATCCTCTCCGCTCCGCACTCTGGCTTCCTGTAGACCCTGGGAGTGACCGGGTCCCTGCCACCCACGTGGGAGACCTGACTGAGTTCTCAGCTCCAACTCCGGCCGCAGCCTGGCCCAGATCTCTGCACGTGGGCATCTGGGGAGTGAACCAGCAGAGGACAACTCTTTGTCTGTCTCGCAAATAGATAATTAATTTAAACAAATAATACACAGTGGACATCGTGGCTCAGTGGGTGATGTGCACAGCCCATTTCGGGCGCTGGCTCAGCGCTGGCTACCCTGCCTCCCATCCAGCCCCTGCAAATGCACCCGGGAGGTAACAGGTGCCGGCTCGAGTGCTTGGGTCCCTGCCTCCCACGCGGGCGAGCAGATGGAGTCCTGGGTTCCTGCGTGGGCCTGGCCCAGCCTTGGCTGTTGTGGGCATTTGGGAAGTGAACTACAGGATGGAAGATCTCTTCCTCTCTGCCTCTGTGTGTCATTCTGCCTTTCAAACAAATCTTCTTAAAAAGTAAAATCCAACGTGTCAGTCGTCTCGGGTAAACTGCTTGTCTGCACTTTTTCCGTCACACAGACTTTTACTAAAGGCTGGCGCGTGCACAGGGCTACGGCAGACCCCTGCTGTCACTGGGTAAGTCTCTCCTCGAGTCTGACTCAGCTACCCTATTTCTCCAACTCATCTTTGTGGAAACAGACACGCTCACGACAGCCTGCTCTCGAGGTCATGTGCCCTTTCACACCAGCAGGTGCCAGCTCCCCAGGGAGGCGGGAGCACCTCCGAGCAAGGATGTGGAGCCCCGTGCCTGATGCGGCCAGCTGAGGACCCCAAACCCCTGGAACACGTCCCTTCCTTGGGCGCCCCTTGACTGGGCCCCGACCACTCACCCGGGGCTCACCCTGGGCTGCAAAGCGGGTGCGCAGAACGTCCACAGGGTGCACAGTGAGGGTGGCCATGCAGGCGGAGAGGCCACCACACACAAAGTGCACGGAGAACTCGCGGGCGTCGTGCGCCGTGGCTCTGTGGACCAGCTCGGTCAGCAGCTCGAACGACAAGAACTGTGGGAGCACAAAGAATGAGGCTGAGACCAAACCCCCCCAGAGACCACCCCGACCCAGGAGGGGCCCAGGCCTAGAACCCGGTGCCCATATGGGAAGCCAGCACCACAGGCGGAGGATTAGCCAAGTGAGCCACAGTGCCAGCCCCAGATGTTATCTTTTTAAAAATCTATTAAGCAGGCCGGCGCTGTGGAGCAGTGGGTTAAGGCCCTGGCCTGAAGCACCAGCTTCCCATATGGGCGCCAGTTTGAGTCCCGGCTGCTCCTCTTCTGATCCAGCTCTCTGCTGTGGCCTGGGAAAGCAGTAGAAGATGGCCAAGTCCTTGGGCCCCTGCACCCACATGGGAGACCCAGAAGAAGCTCCTGGCTCCTGGCTTCGGATCGGCACAGCTCCAGCCATTGTGGCCATCTGGGGAGTGAACCAGCAGATGGAAGACCTCTCTCTCTGTCTCTATCTCTCTCTGTATCTCTGTCTTTCAAATAAATAAAATAAATCTTAAAAAGAAAAAGAAAAAATCTATTAAGCTCTGCCTGCCCTACCCAAGGAGACATGATCCAACAGAGCTTTTCAGAAGGAAAACCATTTCAGGAAGGGCTGGCCCTGTGGCGCCCCAGGTTAAATCACCACTGTGGCGCTGACATCCCATGGCTCACTACTGGTTCAAGACCCGGCTCCTCCACTTCCAATCCAACTCCCTGCTCATGTGCCTGGGAGAGCAGCACAAGCTGGCCTACGTCCTTGGGAGACCCAGAAGGAGTTCCAGGCTGCTGGCTTCAGCCAGGCCCAGCCCTGGCCACTGTGGCCATTTGTGAGTGAACAAGTGGGTAGAAGATTCTCTCTCTGTCCTGTCTTTGTAACTCTGCCCTTCAAATAAATAAACTTAAAGAAAAAATAAAAAGAATGAGGCTGGTGCTGTGGCACAGCGGGTTAACACCCTGGCCTGAAGCGCCAGCATCCGATATGGGTGCCAGTTCAAGTCCCGGCTGCTCCACTTCCGATCCAGCTCTCTGCTATGGTCTGGGAAAGCCGTTGCGGCCAACTGGGGAGTGAATCATCAGATGGAGGACACCACCCCCCCACCTCTCTCTCCTTTCTGTGTAACTCTTTCAAATGAATAAATAAATTTTTTAAAAAAAGGAACTTAAGGCTGGCGCCGCGGCTCACTAGGCTAATCCTCTGCCTAGCGGCGCCGGCACACCGAGTTCTAGTCCCGGTCGGGGCGCCAGATTCTGTCCCGGTTGCCCCTCTTCCAGGCCAGCTCTCTGCTGTGGCCAGGGAGTGCAGTGGAGGATGGCCCAAGTGCTTGGGCCCTGCACCCCATGGGAGACCAGGAAAAGCACCTGGCTCCTGGCTCCTGCCATCGGATCAGCGCGGTGCGCCAGCCGCGGCGGCCATTGGAGGGTGAACCAACGGCAAAGGAAGACCTTTCTCTCTGTCTCTCTCTCTCACTGTCCACTCTGCCTGTCAAAAAAAAAAAAAAAAAAAAAAGGAACTTAATAAACATATATACAATTTTATGCAAAACTTATTTGAAAGTCAGAGAGAGAGAGGGAGACATCTTCCATCTGCTGGTTCCCTTACCAAATGGCTACAATGGCCAGGGTTAGGCCAGGCCAAAGCCAGGGTCGAGACCTTCATCCAGGTCTCCCAGTGGGTAGCAGCGGTCCAAACACTTGAGTCATCTTCTGCTGCTTTTCCCAGGCCTTGAGCAGGGAGCTGGATGGAAAATGGAGCAGCTAGGACTTGAGATGGCACCCATAGGGGATGCCAGGGTCACAGGCGGCAGCCTTACCCACTGTACCACAACATCAGCCCCTTATACTCTATTTGAATAGAGCCAAATACCTCAAAGGTTAAGAAAATATATGGGGAAATTTTTATATTAAAAAAGTCTACTCAAGGACTGGCGCTGTGGCATAGTGGATAAAGCCACCACCTATAGTGCCAGCATCCCATATGGGCACCGGTTCACGTCCCGGCTGCTCCACTTCTGTTCCATCTCTCTGCTGTGGCCTGGAGAAGCAGTGGAAGATGGCCCAGGTCCTTGGGCCCCTGCACCTGTGTGGAAGACCAGGGAGAAGCTCCTGGCTCCTGGCTTTGGATTGGCTCAGCTCTGGCCATTGTGGCCATTCGGGGAGTGAACCAGTGGATGGAAGACCTCTGTCTCTCTGTCTCTGCCTCTCTATAACTCTGTCTTTCAAATGAATACATAAATCTTTTTTTAAATGAAGGTGATTTTCTAAGCGCTGGGAAATGAGCCCTATCCAGCTGAAGGAAGGGACCCCTTGGGCACAGCAGGCGGTGGAGCTGTCTGCCAGTCACTCTTCCTTGGGGGCATGGGCCCAGAGTCACCCCTCACACTCCCATCGGCCTTCCGCCACCCGCAGACGGCTCAGCCTCTGGAGACGCCCACGGTCGTCACACTGCGGCATCTGCGTGCCAGAAGCAGGGATGGGACGGCAGGGGCGCGCCGCCCGGGGAGGCACCTCCAGGGAGCAACGGCCGGACCTCACAGGCAGGGCAGGAAGCGACAGCTCTGGTGCTAGCTGCCTGCGTGGGGTCCCGGCTCTGCCACTGCCTGGCTGGTCAGTGACAGAACCCGCCTCAAGTGTCAAGTGTCAGAGCGGCACTGGGCGAGGGCTAACAGCATTACCACCAGCGACAGCCGCTGAGTGACCCAGTGACTGAAGCCAGGGCAAAGCCGCTGCCCGCAGTGCCAGCATCCCTTAAGGGCACCAGTTCAAGTCCCGGCTGCTCCACTTTCCATCCAGCTCTCAGCTGTGGCCTCAGAAAAGCAGTGGAAGATGGCCCAGGTCCTTGGGCCCCTGATCCTGCGTGGCAGACTGGAAGAAGCTCCTGGCTCCTGGCTCCAGATCAGCCCACCTCTGGTCGCTGTGGCCATGTTGGGAGTGAACCGGCGGATGGAAGACCTCTCTCTCTCTGCCCCTGCCTCTCCGTAACTCTGCCTTTCAAATAAATAAATAAATATTAAAAAAAAAAAAAAAAAGAAAGAAAGAAAGAAAACCTAGCCTCCAAGCCTAACCCCGTGACGTCCAGGCTGTGTGGCCTGCGGCAGTTCACGTGACTCCTTGTGACCCACATAACAGAGGACGCACACACGTGAGGATGCTCCTTCCAAAGGGAAGACCAGCACCCAGTGCAGCAGCTGGAGCGCTGCCTGTGACGCCGCCATCCCATACCCACAGCGGGTTCCGGTCCCGGCTGCTCCGCTTCTGAACCAGCTGCCGGCTAATGCGCTGGGGAGGCAGCAGAGGATGCCCAAGTGCTCGGGCCCCTGACACCCACGTGGGAGACGCGGATGAAGTTCCAGGCTCCTGGCTTTAGCCTGGCCCAGCCCTGGCCGTTGTGGCCATCTGGGGTGTGAGAAGTGAACCAGTGGGTGGAAGATGTCTCCCTCCTCTCTGTCACTCTTTCAAATAAATAAAAATAAGTATTTCTAAAGTTAAAAAAAAAGTGGGGGCAGGTATTTGGTACAGCAGTTAAGACCCCCTCCTCTACAGGAGGGCCTGGTTTGAGTCCCTGCTCTGTGGCTAATGCCAGCTTCCTGCTAATGTGCACCCTGGGAGACGCAGCTGATGGTTCAAGTAACTAGATTCCTGGCACCCAGATCGAGTTCCTGGCTTCCAGCTTCAGCCTGGCCCAGCCCAAACTGTTCCTGTATGGGGGGGGGGGGGGGGCAGAGGGTAGAAGCTCTGACTTCCTCTCGGTCTCTCCTGCTGTCTGCATCTCAAGTAAATAAAAATAGGGGCTGGCGCTGTGGCCTAGCGGGTAAAGCTGCCGCCTGCAGTGCCGGCATCCCCTATGGGTGCCGGTTCGAGTCCCAGCTGCTCCACTTCCAATCCAGCTCTCTGCTGTGGCCTGGGAAAGCAGTGGAAGATGGCCCAAGTCCTTGGGCCCCTGCACCTGCGTGGGAGACCTGGAAGAAGCTCCTGGCTCCTGGCTTCAGATCAGTGCAGCTCCGGCCATTGTGGCCATCTGGGGGAGTGAACCAGCGGATGGAAGACCTCTCTCTCTCTCTCTCTCTCTCTCTCTCTGGCTCTGGCTCTCTGTAACTCTGCCTTTCAAATAAATAAATAAATCTTTAAAAAAAAATAAAGAAAAACAAAACTCACCCTCGGCCGAGCCCCACGGGGACATGATGTCAAGGCCGTCCCCGATGTGGGGACTGAAGTCACCGGGGCCGGACGGTGGGGACGTGGGACAGGCAGCCTCTAAGGCACGACTCAGCCTGATGCCCAGCGCTCAGGCAGGTCCTGGGGCCACTGGAAACGCGGGACTGCCTCTGGCCGCCCTGCCCCAGCTCGCCCCACCCCTGCTCCCCACTGAGCACTGCCGCGCACCTGGACGGCTCCATAGCCTACGGAGAGGAGCTGGGCCGGGATGTGTCCTTTCCAGAAGGCTGTCGGGCCCTCCTCCCGCAGAATCTGCCTCGTGGCCTGCAGGATGCTATGGTACTTCGCGCCGGGGTCCCTGCGAGACAGGCGTTCTATCTGAAGCTGCGAATCAAAACCGGAGAGATGAGGGTTGCAGGGGTGGGGTGAGAAGAATTCCAGAGAAGGGGAAGAGGCAGAAAGCGCTTCACCCTGCCCACATTCCAGGTCTGCAACACACTTCCGCCCCAGAGGCCGGGCCTGCGCGGCGGCCCATCCGCAGACAAGGGGAGAGGTACCTGGAAGCGGATCTTGATGACGTCCAAGGGGCTGATCAGTGCCCGAGTGACGAGTCCAGACACAGAGCCAGCCACGGCCACCTCAATCTTGGAGATGCTCCTGCCATCTGTCGTGGGGTCATAGCCGACCATCCCTGCCTCTGGTCCGTCCACTGTCCATCCGTGTCAAGCTGGACGTGAGAGACAGGGCGTCAGTGCTGGGGCAGGTTTGCCAGGGCTTCCGCCCAGACCTCCCTGCCCAGAGCAGCCCCTGCCCTCCTGTCTGCGGGGAGAGCACTGGGCATCGGTTCCTCGTCCCCCCCCCCACGGAAACGCGGCCTTGGTCTCATCGCTGACCTCTGCCTGGAGTTGCCTCCCGTGCCTATCTGAGGCCACTGTAAGTGTCAGTGCTGTTGGTGGACAGAGCGCACGAAGTGGACAAACAGGCTGGGAAGGAAACTGCTGGCTCACACGAGGGCCTCTGCGACCTTATGGCTACCCCCATCTGAGCTAAGGTGTGAACTGGCCCATGCCCAACGCCGAGGGGGCTTGCCAGGCACGCGGGGCCAGAGGACAGGGCTTGGGATTCCAGCAAGTTCCCACCAAAGAAGAGCCCAGACACACTCGGCCCCTCCCAGTGCCCTCCCCCATTCTCTGCACACGCCTCAGGCTCACCCCAGCACGGTGGGGCCGTGTGAAGCCAGGACACTCCCAGCCCCACCTGGGCTGGACCTGCTCCCCCAGCTTCCCACACTCAACCAGGGTGTCCTGAGTCCTTCTGACCGCTCCCTAGAAAATGCTGCGGGCGGGCTCGGCGCTGTGGCACAGCAGGTTAACGCCCTGGCTTGAAGCGCCGGCATCCCTTATGGGCACTGGGATGCCGGTTCTAGTCCCGGCTGCTCCACTTCCGATCCAGCTCTCTGCTATGGCCTGGGAAAGCAGCAGAAGATGCCCAAGTCCTTGGGCCCCTGCACCTGCATGGGAGACCCGAAAGAAGCTCCTGGCTCCTGGCTTCAGATCGGCACAGCTCCGGCCATTGCGGCCAAATGAGGAGTGAAGCAGCAGACGAAGACCTCTCTCCCTCTCTCCCTCTCTCTCTCTGCCTCTCCTCTCTCTGTGTAACTCTTTCAAATAAATAAATAAATCTTAAAAAAAAAAAAAGAGAGAGAGAGAGAGAGAAAATGCTGTGGGCGCCCCAGCCACCCCCGGCGACCAGCCGTGTCTTTTTTTTTTTTTTTTTTTTTTAATTTTTTAATTCAAAGGCTTTAAGAACAGCTACAAGGGGCTGGGTTTTGCCACCGCAGTTAACACACCGCATGGGATGCCTGCATCCAGACCAGAATGTCTGGGCTTCAGTCTCCGCTCCACCTCCCAGCCCAGCTCCCTGCTCACGAGCGCCTGCCAGGCGACGGGGACGGCTCCAGTCCTGCTTCCCTGTCACCCACATGGGAGACCTGCATCGCGCTTCTGGTTGCTGACTTCCACCAGGCCCAGCCCGAGCTGTTGCATTCGGGGAGTGAACCAGCAGATGGGCGCACTCGCGCTCTCTGCCTTTCAATTAAAGTTGTTGTTGTTGTTAATAAAACGTCATAAACACGTTTCCATGCTGCTACAAGATCTTCATAAATATCTTTATTTTATTTGTAAAGATTTATGTAGGTATTTATTTGAAAGGGCAAGACAGAGAAAGAGGTCTTCCATCCACTGGTTCACTCCCCAAACGGCTGCAACAGACGGGGCTGGATCAGGCCCACGCCAGGAGCCAGGAGCTCCGTCTCGGTCTCCCACGTGAGCGCAGGGCCCAAGCACCTGGGCCACCTTCCGCTGTCTTCCCGGGCACGAGAGAAGCAGCTGGACTGGAGGCTGAGAGCCAGGACTTGAACCGGAGCTCCAGTATAGGGGCTAAGCAGCTGCAACACAGCACCAGCCCCTCAAATGTCATCTTATTTATTTATTTTTAATTTATTTATTTGAAAGGCAGAGTTAGAGAGAGCGAGAGCAAGAGACAGAGAGAGAGAGAGAGAGGTCTTCCATCCGCTGGTTCACTCCCCAGATGGCCACAGTGGCTGGAGCTGCGCCGATCTGAAGCCAGGAGCCAGGAGCTTCTTCCAGTTCTCCTACACGGGTGCAGAGACCCAAGCACTTGGGCCATCTTCTTCTGCTGTTTTCCCAGGTGCATTAGCAGGGAGCTGGATCGGAAGTGGAGCAGCCGGGATTCAAACAAGAACCCATATGAGATGCCAGAGCCACAGGTGGCAGCTTTACCTGCTACACCACAGTGCCGGACATCAAATGTCATTTTAAATGGCTGACTGATACTCCATCAAATAGCTGTGCTATAATTATTTTGGGCAATTTTTTTTAAAGATCTATTTATTTACTTGAAAGTCAGAGTACACAGAGAGAGAAGGAGAGGCAGAGAGAGAGAGAGGTCTTCCATCTGCTGGTTCACTCCCCAATTTGCCGCAATGACCAGAGCTGCGCTGATCTGAAGCCAGGAGCCAGGAGCGTCTTCCCAGTCTCCCACGAAACACTTGGGCCGTCTTCTACTGCTTTCCCAGGCCATAGCAGGGAGCTGGATCAGAAGTGGAGCAGCTGGGACTTGAACTGGCGCCCATATGGGATGCCGGTGCTGCAGGCGGCAGCTTTGCCCACTATGCCACAGCACCGTCTTTTTTTTTTTTTTTTTTTTTTTAATTTACATTTTATTCCAGAGCAGTGTTTCTCGCCCTCAGCAGTACCGCCATCCAGAGTGGATGATTCCGTCTGTCGGGGCAGTGCAGGATGCTTGGCGGCGCCATCCCCGCTGCCGCACTCCGGCCAGGACACCAACAGTGCCTCCCTCCCAGCGCCGCCGAGGGGCCCGCTCCCGGCTGAGAAGCGCTGGTCTGGAGAGGCACTGGCAGGCGTGTGCGCAGTGCCGTGTGTTGCGTTATTATTTGCAAAACTGGTCACAACCCAAATGGCCGCCAATAAAGGGATGGACCAGCACGCCAAGTGAGCCCGGCTCATGAAATCCCAGGCGGCCATTACGAAGCCCGGGCCACTGCTCTGCCCGCTGGCTGGAAGCAAGCAGGTCTTGGAGCCTCGCGGCCGCTAAACCCCCAGTCTCGGGAAACAAAAGCAGCGAGGCCCCTCGGGGCTCTGTGCACTTGTGCAAGTGCAGGAAGAAGTCCGTGCCAACACCAGCAGGGAGCTGCCGAGTCACCACGGGGAAGGGGAGGCAATGTAGATCTCGCGCCTCAGGTCAATACACATTGTTAGAATTTTGTTTTTTTGTTTTTTTGTTTTTTTGTTTTTTTGTTTTTTTTTTTTTACAGATAAAGCTAGTGAGAGAGAGACAGAGACAAAGATCTTCCTTCCGTTGGTTCACCCCCCAAATGGCCGCTACGGCCGGTGCACTGTGCTGATCCGAAGCCAGGAGCCAGGTGCTTCCTCCTGGTCTCCCATGCGGGTGCAGGGCCCAAGCACCTGGGCCATCCTCCACTGCCCTCCCGGGCCACAGCAGAGAGCTGGCCTGGAAGAGGAGCAACTGGGACTAGAACCCGGCACCCATATGGGATGCTGGCGCTGCAGGCAGAAGATTAGCCAAGTGAGCCGCGGCACCGGCCCCACGTTGTTAGAATTTGAAATGGGATGGGGCCGGTGCTTTGGCGTAGTAGGTTAAGCCTCTACCTGCAGCACCAGCATCCCCTATGGGCACCGGTTCAAGTCCCAGCTGCTCCTCTTCCGATCCAGCTCCCTGCTGATGGCCTGGGGCAGCAGCAGAAGACGGCACAAGTACTCGGGCCCCTGCACCCACGTGGGAGGCCCAGAAGAAGCTCCTGGCTCCTGGCTCCTGGCTTCTGACAGGCCCAGCTCTGGCCACTGCAGCCATTTGGGGAGTGAATCAGCAGATGGAAGATCTCTCTCTCTCTCTGTGTCTCCTTCTCTCTGTTACTCTGCCTCTCAAATAAATAAATAAATAAAACCTTAAAGAAAAGAATTTGCTATGAGAAAAAAAAATACTAACTATAAACTGATTTTACCAGGCACCCTAGAATTAATCTATTCTTTTTAAAAAAATAAGTTTGGTGTTTTTTTATTATTTTTGTGTTTATTTGTTTACTGTCATCTACTGGAAAGGCAGAGCAGCAGTGACAGAGACCTTCCTTCCACTGGCTCAGTCCCCAAACGCCCTCAACGCCCAGGGCTGACCCGGGCTGCAGGCGGGGCCCAGGACTCCCTCCAGGCCTCCCTCACAGGTGGCAGTGCCTGAGTACCTGCCACCGTCTCTGCCTCCCTGGCACATTAGAGGGGGCAGGCCTAGCAGCACAGCAGCCAAGACTCACACCAGTGCTCCGCGGGGCACGCAGGCATCGCAAACGGGCGCTTAAGCCGCTGCACCACAACGCCAGCCCCTCCACCTGGTCCTCGAATACTTGTTACGAAAGGGAGGGCACTCTCGGGGCCGGCGCTGTGGCGTGGCGGGTAAAGCCGCTGCCTGCAGCACCGGCATCCCATGTGGGTGCTGGTTCTAGTCCCAGCTGTTCCACTTCCGATCCAGCTCCCTGCTGATGGCCTGGGGAGGCAGTGGAGGACGGCCCAAGTGCTTGGGACCCTGCACCCGTGTGGGAGACCTGGAAGAAGCTCCTGGCTCCTGGCTTCGGATCAGCCCTGGAAGACCTCTCTTGGACTTGGACCGAACACGGGCTGGGCTCTCCCTCTGGAAAACGAGGATGTGTGCCCTGCCCAACCCAGGCTGCTGGCAGATCACACAAGACACACACCGGGCCGGCGCTGTGCCACAGCAGGTAAAACTGCATCACACAACACACATACCGGGCTGTGGTGTAGTGGGTAAAGCTGCCGCCTGCAGTACCAGCATCCCATACGGGCACTGGTTCTAGTCTCGGCTGTTCCACTTCCCATCCATTACTCTGCTGTGGCCTGGGAAAGCAGTAGAAGACGGTCCAAGTGTTTGGGCCCCTGCACCCGCATGGGAGACCTGGAAGAAGCTCCTGGCTCCTGGCTTCAGATCAGCGCAGCCCTGGCCGGTGTGGCCATTTGGGGAGTGAACAGCGGATGTTAGACCTCTCTCTTCCTCTGCCTTTCAAATAAATAAATCTTTTTTAAATATGTGATATGTAATAGCTTTAGTTCAAAAAGCCAGGGTCTGGGTGGGCATTTAGCCTACTGGTTAAGACTAGGGCTAGTCTGTGGGTTCAGGGTCCCGCTCCCGGCCGAAGCTTGGAGCTAATGCGGCCCCTGGGAGCAGGTGGCGATGGTTCCTGACGCCCACCTGGGAGACCTGGGCTGCGTCCCGCCCTCCGCCACTGCAGGGTTGGGGAGTGAACCAGCAGGTGGGAAGCTTCCTCCGTCTCTCAAATTAAAAACAGAGGCGCAGTCATACATTCGTGAGAGGCGCTCGTTAGACGCGGCCCGTGGCGTACTCACTTCTGCTTGCTCACAATCTCCTGGCACCGGTAAGCCTCGGTATTCACCTAGAGGACAAAATAAAACAAGGATTTCAGGGCTGGGGTCGCGCCGCCGCGCCGGGGCGGGGCGGGCTCGCCCCCCGCCCCGCGCCCCTGCGGACGCCCGCGGAGCTCGGGGCCACAGGTGCCCCGCGCGGGGAGCGCCCGCGTGCCCGCGCGTGCCCGGCGACGCTTCCCAGAGCAGGTGTGACACGTGCGCGCAGGCCCCGCCCCCGCGAGAGCACCTGCGCGGGGCCCCGCTCTCGAGAGGACGGCAGAAGTAAAGGTCACTCACCCGCTCTGTTCCACGGGCGCGGCGCGGCAGCCTGCGCTCTTGCTGTCTTTTCCTCACGCAGTCTAACAGCAAAACTCGATTTCTCTCGAAAGTAACTGACGGGCATCTAGGCCAATCACCGCGCAGCTCCGCCAGACACCGGGCCAATGGTTGTACGCTCGGAGTCTAGCCCACGCCCCCGCGAGGCTTCCTGGGTAATGTAGTCCCGATCCACGATGCGTTTTCTGGGTGGGGCGCACAGCCTCCTGGGAGGGGTAGTTCCACTGGCACGCGTGCGCGTGAGGGGCCCTGGCGAGCAGGAAGGGGGCGAGCGAAGGCGCGCGGTGACCTTGGGCGCTGGGCGGCGCGCGGCTCGGAAGTCCGCCTGAGGGCGGGGTGCGAGGCTAGGGGGCGCTGAACTTGACCCGTTTTTGGCAGAGACCGTAGCACGGGGACGACGCAGTGGATGGGTTTAATACCGGGGTTGTGTTCCTCCACGGTTTGTGACACAGTTTCCCATCGTCAAGACTTTAAAATTCAGTATATCCGGACGCAGGCGCCGCAGAAGCGAGGGGCTCGCCTCCGGGGGCGCTTCCGAGGGGACGCGGGCGTCCTGGCCGGGCTGCCTCGGTCCCGCTTCCTGCCGCCCTGGTCTCGGGTCTGCCCACGGCAGCTCCGCGGGCGATGCCGCCTCTCTCAGCTGATTCTGTTCTCTGCAGTAAGAGTCACCTTGTTGGCCTCGGCCCAAAAATAGTGGAAAATTCCAGAATTAATTCATAACCTTTTTTTTTTTAAAGGTTTGTGTATTTGAGAGGCGGAGCGGGTCGGCTCAGCTCCGGCCTTGAGGCCATCTGGGGAGTGAACCAGCAGATGGAAGACCTCTCTCTCTGTCTTACCTCTCTCTGTAAATCCTTCAAATAAATAAAATAAATCTTTAAAAAAAAAAAAAAAGAAAGAAAGAAAGAAAGAAAGAAACAGAGCAGCCAGGAACCTGGCCCACGTGGGATGCCCACTGCAGGCAGTGGCTTAACCCACGGTGCCAAGCGCCAGCCCCAATTCATAAGTTTCAAACCATTTTTCTTAGTGTGCTGTCACAATTGTTTTTGCTTTACATTAGTTATTATTAATCTCTTACTGTGATCTATAAAATGAATTTTATCATGGGCATGCGTAGGAGCGAACATCGCAGATACACGGGGGTTAGCGCTATCCACAGTTTTAGGAGAGTCCCGGGGTCTCAATGTTTGTCCTGCAGACGACCGGGGTCTCATCTCGTCTTCCTGGACTGCGGCCAGTGCACATTGCAGATTGGCCCCTCGGGTGGCCGTTGGACAGAGAAGGCGACCCCAGGGTGATGGGGCCGTGGGTGCGCTGGGAAGACTCCTGGCGGGCTTCGGTCCAGCCAGGGCCTACAGGGACTGGATGGCGTCCCCAAGGCCCCTGGCGGTCAGGGGGCATTGGTGGCTGAGCTGACATGAGACCCATGGCAGCTGCCCGTCTTCCTGCAGTCTGCGCCTTTGAAATCTGGTCGTGTCACCGGCAGATGGACAGATGGAGTGAGTCACGCCGGGTGAGAACCGGGCACCGCGGTTCCCGTCAGCGTGGGGAAGTGGGTCCTTCAGTGACCTCGTCAGCAGCTAACCTGAACAGACCTATTAAAAGCGCCTTTGGACTTCCCCCACCTCCTGGGGGAGGCAGAGATCGCCTCGGCCTTGACCAACAGAGGGGTGTTTACCAGCCGTCTGGGCCACTGCTCTTGAGGGGAGCGGGCCTCGGGGTCGCTCAGCCGTGCTGCCGGTGGGCGGCCCGGGGGCCGAAGGCAGCTTTGTCCTCCATGAAGATGGAGGGCTTGGACCACAGGACGCCCGAGCCCTGATGCCGCTCAGCCAACACAGAGCTAAAAAATCGGCATTTAGCAAGAGTCCCACGGGCTTCTCGGTTTCAGCTGATGAAATCATTTGGGATACCTTATTTTTTCCCTTAGAGTATTATGTATTTTTTTGAGAGGTAGACAGAGAAGGCCAGCGTGTGGCACAGTGAGTCAGCTGCCACCCGTGACACCAGCATCCCATGTGATGAGCGCCAGTTTGAGTCCCGGCTGCTCCACTTCTGATCCAGCTCCCTGCTAGTGTGCCTGGGAAAGCGGCAGAACTTAGCCCGGGTGCTTGGCCCCTGCACCCATGTAGGGGACCTGGATGGAATTCCAGGCTCCTGGCTTCTGCCTGACCCTGAACTGGCTGTTGCAGCCATTTGGGAGTGAACCAGTGGATGGAAGACCTCTCCCTCTCTCTTTCTGTCTCTCCCTCTCTGTAACTCTTTCAAATAAATAAAATAAATCTTAAAGAGAGAAAGAGAGTGAAATTTCCCATCTCTGGTTCACTTCCCAAATCCCAAAACAGCGAGGGGCTAGCCAAGGCCAAAGCTAAGTGGGTTCTCAATCCAGGTCTCCCACGTGGGCGGCAAAGACTCGGAGCGCCCAGCCCTGGGAGGCTGGTTGTAAGATGCAGGCCACCTCCTCCCTTGAGGTGTGGAGTGGGCACCGGAAGTGCACATCCAGACGCTGCATTGGAGACGCCCCCCCGACCACCAGCACCTGTCGGGTTCCTTCTTTCTGACTCAGAATGTTGAAGCCTCTGTCTGCCGTCTTAAATATATATATACCTGCTTTCCTTTTACTTGAAAAGGAGACAGAGCGATCCCCATCCGTTGGCTCACTCCCCAAATGCCTACCAACAGCCAGAGCTGGGCCAAGCCTAAGCCAGGAACCAGGAACCCAATCCAGGTCCCCTGTGCAGACTTCCCTACCTCGTCCAGGGAGCAGGTATCTCCTTGGCCTTGACCAAATGCCCAAGTAGTCGGGCCACGACCTGCTGCCGCCCAGGGCTCGCTCCAGCAGGAAACTGGAGAGGAAGAGAGGAAGGCAGCGCTGGGCTGTGACAGGGGACACGGCGTGCCAGCCCCCTGCCCGGTGCCCCCGTGAAAACCGCCAAAACCCGACCACTGCCGGGGGTCCGGGAGGAAGTTCTGACGCCTCCAGGGGCCGAAGGTGGGCGCTTTGGCCACGGTTCCTTCTCTGTTCTTTCAGATTTACTCAGCCAGTGACTCAAAACACCGAGAAAAAAATAACCAAGAAAAAAAAAAAAAACAGAAGAGTCACTGTCCAGTGACTGCCGAGAGCTGATTTCCTACGCCCTTCGGCCGGCTCTGCGGTCCCTCTCGGCAGGGCCAGGACAGCAGCGGCGGGGACGTGGCCGCAGTGGGGGCTCCCCGCGGCGGCCGGAGGGCCCGAGGCCCCCCACTTCCTGGTTTCCAGCACTTGGCTCTGACCAGATCGTCCACTCTGTGGGTGACCACGCCATCACCCCTTGTTTTGGAGCTTCCATGGGGAGGTGTCCAGTGCTCGGCCTGTGGGAGCCCGCCTGCCCCCCCCCAATGCAGAGGAAGCCAGCGGGTGTGGCGCTGTCACACAGGGTGTGTGTGTGTGTGTGTGTGTGTGCATGCATGTGTGTGTGTGTGTTCATGCGCCCCCCCCATCAACCACAGAGACTGCCCCCCCCCCCCAATGCAGAGGAAGCCAGCGGGTGTGGCGCTGTCACACAGGGTGTGTGTGTGTGCGTGTGTGTGCATGTGTGTGTGTGTGTGTTCATGCGCCCCCCCATCAACCACAGAGCCTGCCTCCCTCCCCCAGGGCTTCTGCTCCGTGCCTCCCCCCGAGACAGCTGCATCTGGGAATCCCAGAACCGAGCCTCAGACGGGAGGGAAGATGGAGCAGGAGACTCCTTGGACGCCCAGCAGGCTGGGGCGGGCGTGTCTTTACTCCAAGCTGCAGAGGGCTGCCCCCCCAGGCCCTTCCTCACCGCCACCCCCTCCACCCCACCTGCCCCCGCTCAGTCCCTGGAGGCTGTGGCAAAGGCCGCCTCCCCCAGGTTTCGGATCCTCCCCAGTTCTTCCCGCAGGGCCTGCACACACTGCGTTAGCCAGCACCCAGCTCCACCTGCGCTCGGCTGGCGGCTGGTCTGGGAGCTCCCGGAAGGCGAGGGCCCTGCCCCCTCCCACGGTCTGCTGAAGATGATCCAGGGATTTGCTGAGTCAGTGAATGAAAGGTCGGAGCCTCACACAGTGCAGAGTCAGAGAGAGAGAGAGAGAGAGAGAGAGAGAAAGACCTTCCTTCCTTCCACTGGTTCACCCCCCAATGGCTGCTATGGCCGGCGCACTGCGCTGATCCGATGGCAGGAGCCAGGTGCTTCTCCTGGTCTCCCATGGGGTGCAGGGCCCAAGCACTTGGGCCATCCTCCACTGCCCTCCCGGGCCACAGCAGAGAGCTGTGGCCTGGAAGAGGGGCAACCGGAACAGAATCCGGTGCCCCGACCGGGACTAGAACCCGGTGTGCCAGCGCCGCAAGGCGGAGGATTAGCCTAGTGAGCCGCAGCACCAGTGTCTCTTTATATTTCAAATAAAATGAAAGTAAATAAAAGGCCATCACCTTCTAACAATTTATTTCTAGATGTTTATTTATTCATTTTTTGTGTATTTGAAAAACTAGTGACAAGCGTCAGCACTGTGGTACAGCAGGTTAAGGCCAGGCCTGCAGTGCTGGCTTCCCGTGGAGACGCTGGTGCGAGCCCCGGCTGCCGCGCCTCTGATCCAGCTCCCTGCCAGTGGGCCTGGGAAAGCGGCAGCAGACGGCCCAAGTGCCTGGGCTCTGCCACCCACACGGGAGATCTGGAGGAAGTTCCAGGTTCCAGGCCGGGTCCAGTCCCTGCCACTGTGGCCATCTGGGGAGGGAACCAGCAGATGGAAGATCTCTCTGTCTCTCTCTCTGTCTCTTCCTCTCTCTCTTCCTTTCAAGTGAATAAATACATCTTTAAAGTAATAATAATAAACAGAGTGGCAGAGTGAGATGAGATGGGATGTGCTGATTTACTTTACAAATTCCCTCAGAGCAGAGGGTGAGCCGGGCGGAAGCCAGGAGCCAGGGACTCCGTCTGGGTCTCCCCCAAGGCTCTGGGACTCCGTAGCTGAGCCAGCATTCGCTGCCTCCCTGGCGCGTTAGCAGGAGGCTGGATCAGAAGCACAGGCGGAGGTGAGACCCAGTGCTAGGCACTGGTGGGGTGCGGGCATCCCGAGTGGTGGCTTAACCCACGGTACCACAACGCCCACCGCTGTTGATTTATT